GAGACGCTCTGAGTCTGAGCGAGTTACAGAGACGCTCTGAGTCTGTCAGGGAGTTACAGAGAGACGCTTTGAGTCTGTGAGCGAGTTGCAGAGAGACGCTCTGAGTCTGAGCGAGTTACAGAGACGCTCTGAGTCTGTCAGGGAGTTACAGAGAGACGCTCTGAGTCTGAGCGAGTTACAGAGACGCTCTGAGTCTGTCAGGGAGTTACAGAGAGACGCTCTGAGTCTGAGCGAGTTACAGAGACGCTCTGAGTCTGTCAGGGAGTTACAGAGAGACGCTTTGAGTCTGTGAGCGAGTTGCAGAGAGACGCTCAGAGTCTGAGCGAGTTACAGAGACGCTCTGAGTCTGTCAGGGAGTTACAGAGACACTCTGAGTCTGTCAGGGAGTTACAGAGAGACGCTCTGAGTCTGAGCGAGTTACAGAGACGCTCTGAGTCTGTCAGGGAGTTACAGAGAGACGCTTGAGTCTGTGAGCGAGTTGCAGAGAGACGCTCTGAGTCTGAGCGAGTTACAGAGACACTCTGAGTCTGTCAGGGAGTTACAGAGAGACGCTCTGAGTCTGAGCGAGTTACAGAGACGCTCTGAGTCTGTCAGGGAGTTACAGAGAGACGCTTTGAGTCTGTCAGGGAGTTACAGAGAGACGCTCTGAGTCTGTCAGGGAGTTACAGAGAGACGCTCTGAGTCTGAGCGAGTTACAGAGACGCTCTGAGTCTGTCAGGGAGTTACAGAGAGACGCTTTGAGTCTGAGCGAGTTGCAGAGAGACGCTCTGAGTCTGTCAGGGAGTTACAGAGAGACGCTTTGAGTCTGTGAGCGCGTTGCAGAGAGACGCTCTGAGTCTGAGCGAGTTACAGAGACGCTCTGAGTCTGTCAGGGAGTTACAGAGAGACGCTTTGAGTCTGTGAGCGAGTTACAGAGAGACGCTCTGAGTCTGTGAGCGAGTTGTAGAGAGACGCTCTGAGTCTGTCAGGGAGTTACAGAGAGACGCTCTAAGTCTGTGAGCGAGTTGCAGAGAGACGCTCTGAGTCTGTGAGCGAGTTGCAGAGAGACGCTCTGAGTCTGTCAGGGAGTTACAGAGAGGCGCTCTGAGTCTGTGAGCGAGTTACAGAGAGACGCTCTGAGTCTGTCTGAGCGAGTTACAGAGAGACGCTCTGAGTCTGTCAGGGAGTTACAGTGAGACGCTTTGAGTCTGTGAGCGAGTTGCAGAGAGACGCTCTGAGTCTGTGAGCGAGTTGCAGAGAGACGTTCTGAGTCTGTGAGCGAGTTGCAGAGAGACACTCTGAGTCTGTGAGCGAGTTGCAGAGAGACGCTCTGAGTCTGAGCGAGTTACAGAGACGCTCTGAGTCTGAGCGAGTTACAGAGACGCTCTGAGTCTGTCAGGGAGTTACAGAGAGACGCTCTGAGTCTGTGAGCGAGTTACAGAGAGACGCTCTGAGTCTGTCTGAGCGAGTTACAGAGAGACGCTCTGAGTCTGTCAGGGAGTTACAGTGAGACGCTTTGAGTCTGTGAGCGAGTTGCAGAGAGACGCTCTGAGTCTGTGAGCGAGTTGCAGAGAGACGTTCTGAGTCTGTGAGCGAGTTGCAGAGAGACACTCTGAGTCTGTGAGCGAGTTGCAGAGAGACGCTCTGAGTCTGAGCGAGTTACAGAGACGCTCTGAGTCTGTCAGGGAGTTACAGAGAGACGCTCTGAGTCTGTGAGCGAGTTACAGAGAGACGCTTTGAGTCTGTGAGCGAGTTGCAGAGAGACGCTCTGAGTCTGTCAGGGAGTTACAGAGAGACGCTCTGAGTCTGTGAGCGAGTTGCAGAGAGACGCTCTGAGTCTGTGAGCGAGTTGCAGAGAGACGCTCTGAGTCTGTGAGCGAGTTGCAGAGAGACGCTCTGAGTCTGTGAGCGAGTTACAGAGAGACGCTCTGAGTCTGTCAGGGAGTTACAGAGAGACGCTCTGAGTCTGTGAGCGAGTTGCAGAGAGACGCTCTGAGTCTGTGAGCGAGTTACAGAGACGCTCTGAGTCTGTGAGCGAGTTACAGAGAGACGCTCTGAGTCTGTGAGCGAGTTGCAGAGAGACGCTCTGAGTCTGTGAGCGAGTTACAGAGAGACGCTCTGAGTCTGTGAGCGAGTTGCAGAGAGACGCTCTGAGTCTGTGAGCGAGTTAGAGAGACGCTCTGAGTCTGTGAGCGAGTTACAGAGAGACGCTCTGAGTCTGAGCGAGTTGCAGAGAGACGCTCTGAGTCTGTGAGCGAGTTAGAGAGACGCTCTGAGTCTGTCAGCGAGTTACAGAGAGACGCTCTGAGTCTGTGAGCGAGTTACAAAGAGACGCTCTGAACTGATCTTTAAACCTCTCTCCCTCGCTCGTCCCTCAGGCGTTCAGGAGGACGATGTCTTTTTCACGAGGAGACGTGGACGAGGCCGTGCTCTTCGCTGTGGTAATGACTTAACCTTCCTCCTCGTCATCATCGTACAGAGAGAGTTTCACAGAGAGAGTTTCACAGATCTGATTGTTGTTTTTCATGTCTGATTCTCAGTTTGACTTTGAGAATCGTCTCCACGGAGCAAACTTCCTCGCCTACCCTCCGGTGGTTGCTGGAGGGAATCGAGCCAACACTCTGCACTACATCAACAACAACCAGATCATCAAGGCAAGAAGGGCTTCAAAGTCACATTCTAAATATTACCCAGAAGCCCCGTGTGTAAAGAAGTGTTTGTCTCCATCAGGACGGGGACTTGGTGCTGCTAGACGGAGGTTGTGAATATTTTGGATACGTCAGTGACATCACTCGAACGTGGCCCGTTAACGGAAAGTAAGAAAAGAAAACTCAAACTGTCACAAACTGCAGATGATGATTTAAATGAAGGTTCCAAATGAAACACCTCCTCATCCGCACCTCCTCTCCATCCTCAACCACCTCTCCATCCTCACCTCCTCATCCGCACCTCCTCTCCATCCTCACCTCCTCTCCGCACCACCTCTCCTCACCTCCTCTCCATCCTCACCACCTCTCCATCCTCACCTCCTCATCCGCACCTCCTCTCCATCCTCACCTCCTCTCCGCACCACCTCTCCTCACCTCCTCTCCATCCTCACCACCTCTCCTCACCTCCTCTCCATCCTCACCACCTCTCCTCACCTCCTCTCCATCCTCACCTCCTCATCCGCACCTCCTCTCCATCCTCACCTCCTCTCCATCCTCACCTCCTCATCCGCACCTCCTCTCCATCCTCACCACCTCTCCATCCTCACCTCCTCATCCGCACCTCCTCTCCATCCTCACCTCCTCTCCGCACCACTCTCCTCACCTCCTCTCATCCTCACCACCTCTCCTCACCTCATCTCCATCCTCACCACCTCTCCTCACCTCCTCCTCCATCCTCACCACCCTCTCCTCACCTCCTCCACCTCACCACCTCTCCTCACCACCTCTCCATCCTCACCACCTCTCCTCACCTCCTCTCCATCCTCACCACCTCTCCTCACCTCCTCCATCCTCACCACCTCTCCTCACCTCCTCTCCATCCTCACCACCTCTCCTCACCTCCTCTTCATCCTCACCACTCCGTCTCGCACCTCCTCTTCATCCTCACCTCCTTTTATCCTCACCACCTCTCCATCCTCACCTCCTCTCCGCACCACCTCTCCATCCTCACCTCCTCTCCGCACCACCTCTCCATCCTCACCACCTCTCCATCCTCACCTCCTCATCCGCACCTCCTCTCCATCCTCACCACCTCTCCATCTCACCACCTCTCTCATCTCCTCTTCATCCTCACGCACCTCTCCATCCTCACCTCCTCACCTCCTCTCCATCCTCACCTCCTCTCCTCACCTCCTCCTTCATTCCTCACCACGTCTCCATCCTCACCACCTCTCCTCACCTCCTCTCATCCTCACCACCTCTCCATCCTCACCTCCTCCGCACCACCTCTCCTCACCACCTCTTCTCACCTCCTCTCCATCCTCACCACCTCTCCATCCTCACCTCCTCTCCGCACCACCTCTCCTCACACCTCTTCATCCTCACCTCCTCATCGCCGCACCTCCTCTCCATCCTCACCACCTCACCCTCCTCACCTCCTCATCCGCACCTCCTCTCCATCCTCACCACCTCTCCATCCTCACCACCTCTCCTCATCTCCTCTTCATCCTCACCACCTCTCCATCCTCACCTCCTCACTCCTCTCCATCCTCACCTCCTCTCCTCACCTCCTTTCATCCTCACCACCTCTCCCATCCTCACCACCCTCTCCTCCTCCATCTCCACCCTCACCACCTCTCTCTCCTCTCCGCACCACCTCTCCTCACCACCTCTTCATCCTCACCACCTCTCCTCACCTCCTCTCCATCTCACCACCTCTCCATCCTCACCTCCTCTCCGCACCACCTCTCCTCACCTCCTCTTCATCCTCACCACCTCTCCTCACCTCCTCTTTCATCCTCACCTCCTCTTTATCCTCCCCACCTCTCCATCCTCACCTCCTCTCCATCCTCACCACCTCTCCTCACCCCTCTCCATCCTCACCTCCTCTCCTCACCACCTCTCCTCATCTCCTCTTCATCCCTCACCTCCTCTCCATCCTCACCACCCTCCTCACCTCCTCTCCATCCTCACCTCCTCTCCTCACCACCTTCCTCATCTCCTCTTCATCCTCACCTCCTCTCCATCCTCACCACCTCTCCTCACCTCCTCTCCATCCTCACCTCCTCCTCACCACCTCTCCTCATCTCCTCTTCATCCTCAACCTCCTCTCCATCCTCACCACCTCTCCTCACCTCCTCTCCATCCTCACCTCCTCTCCTCACCACCTCTCCTCATCTCCTCTTCATCCTCACCTCCTCTCCATCCTCACCTCCTCTCCTCACCTCTCTTCATCCTCACCTCCTCTTTATCCTCCTCACCTCTCCATCCTCACCACCTCTCCTCACCTCCTCTCCATCCTCACCTCCTCTCCTCACCACCTCTCCTCATCTCTTCTTCATCCTCACCTCCTCTCCATCCTCACCTCTCTCCTCACCTTCCTCTCCTCACACCTCTCCTTACCTCCTTCATCCTCACCACCTCTCCATCCTCCTCTCCTCACCTCCTCTCCATCCTCACCACCTCTCCTCACCACCTCTCCTCACCTCCTCTTCATCCTCACCTCCTCTCCTCACCTCTCCATCCTCACCTCCTCTCCTCACCACTCTCCTTACCTCCTCTCCTCACCTCCTCTTCATCCTCACCACCTCTCCATCCTCCTCTCCTCACCTCCTCTTCATCCTCACCTCCTCTCCTCACCACCTCTCCTTACCTCCTCTCCTCACCTCCTCTTCATCCTCACCACCTCTCCATCCTCCTCTCCTCACCTCCTCTTCATCCTCACCACCTCTCCTCACCTGCCCCCTGCAGGTTCAGTCAGGCTCAGGCCGAGCTGTATGAGGCCGTCCTAGAGGTGCAGCGCTCCTGTCTATCACTGTGCTCACCTGGTGTCAGCCTGGATCACATCTACAGCACCATGCTGGCTCTGATTGGACGACAGCTTAGGAGGCTCGGCGTCGTCCCTCCCAGTACCAGTGATGCAGATTTACTAAAGGTGATCAAACACTAACTACAGGTGCTCAAACAAACACTAACTACAGGTGAACAATCACTAACTACAGGTGATCAAACACTAACTATAGGTGATCAAACACTAACTACAGGTGAACAAACACTAACTACAGGTGAACAAACAAACACGAACTACAGGTGAACAAACAAACACGAACTACAGGTGAACAAACACTAACTACAGGTGATCAAACACTAACTACAGGTGAACAAACAAACACGAACTACAGGTGAACAAACACTAACTACAGGTGATCAAACACTAACTACAGGTGATCAAACACTAACTACAGGTGAACAAACAAACACGAACTACAGGTGAACAAACAAACACTAACTATAGGTGAACAAACACTAACTACAGGTGAACTACAGGTTAAATCACCTGTAGTTCACCTGTAGAGTTTTAAACCTAGATGAAATCAGAAGATACCTGTTTGAGCTTTTAGGAGAACGTCTTCTTGAAAGTTGCAGACCAAGTCATGCACACGGTCTAAAGGTTGTCACTGATTGGATAAGACCAGGAGTGAGGGTCTCTCTCTCTGTCGCCTGATTGGACAGCCTTTACCTGTGTGTAACGTTGTGTGTGGTCCGCAGGCTGCTCGGAGGTACTGCCCTCACCATGTGGGACATTACCTGGGCATGGATGTCCACGACACACCTGAGCTGTCACGCTCTCAGCCTCTACAGCCGGGGATGGTCATCACTATAGAGCCAGGTACAGAACAAAGAAGCCCCCCTTACGGTAAGGTGTGAAGACAGTCTGGGGTTCAGGTCTCCCAGATCCTCCTCCTGGGGGACTCTGAGGCGGGTTTTATAATCCCTCTAGTGAACTCTGGGTCTACCCCGGCGTCTTCTAACAGTTGGCCCTGTCTGGAAGACCTCCAAAGGGATCAGATCCCTGAACCACCTCAGCTGACTCCTTTAGATGTGAAGGAGTAGCAGCTCTACTCCGAGCTCCCCCTGAATGTCTAAGCTCCTCCCCCTTTGTCTAAGGCCGAGCACAAAACCCCTCCAGAGGAAACTCATTTTAGCCGCTTTTAGCCTCGGCTTACCCAAACTCCTTCATTTGGGACAGAGACTCACTCCACCAGTTCCTATCATGGTATGTGACCCTCATCACAGCAAACTGCCCCAATGCCTGCTGGACGTCCCAGCATGAGGAAACCCACAAAACCACATCATCTGCAAAAAGCAGACAGGAGATTTTAAGGCCCCCACAATGGAAACCCTACCCCCCTAAGCTGCACCTTGAGGTCCTGCCCCAGGAGTGGACACAGCTCCCACTTTGTCCCCCCCCACGAGTGGGCCTGCAGGGCGGCTCCATGTAGTTCTTTCAGGCTTAGCCCATGGAGGTAAGCCCCGCCCCCTCAGACAGACACCTTGTCCTCCTTGATGTTTCATGTGTTTCTGCTTCTGTCTCAGGCGTGTACATCGGCGAGGACAACGACGAAGTTCCAAAGCGATTCCGTGGTCTGGGCGTGAGGATCGAGGACGACGTGGTGATCCAGGATCAAGGAGGTCCTCTGATCCTGTCCTCTGAAGCTCCAAAGACCATCGCTGACGTGGAGCAGGCGTGTGCTCTCAGATAGGACAGGTGTGTCCAGGTGTGGTGATGACATCATCAGGACGAGGACCATCAGTGAAATGTAAAGACGATCATTTCCCCTCATCAGCTGACACACAAACACATCTGGGAACAACAGGTAACCATCAGCTGAGTCGCCACGACAACCACCACGCCAACTTTCATCTGAGAAAAGTTCAAAACATCAACATTGCCCCTTCATCAACCGACACACTGAATACTTTTTGACCCTGGGCACGCCGTCGGGCACGCCGTCGGGCACGCCGTCGGGCCGTGTGTGTGAGTCTGTCTGCAATATTAACTCATTAAAAACAAGACATGACTCCATATCTGGTGTCTAGGACTTCTGTTGTGGTTGCCATGGTAACAAACGGGTATCAATATTAAGTTTATAAGTTATGGTATCATAACGACCCTTATGAATACACACACAGTGACACACACAGAAAATGTGTTTCTATTTGTATTAAAAATATTTCTTTCATAACTAATAAACTGTTTGAATTTGACTTAAGTCAAATAAATATGAAAAATGAAGCCGATGCTGAAGTGTAAAAATCCTGCAGTTCCTGGAGTGTCCACTAGAGGCTGGCTGCAGAAGCACAGGAAGTCACATACACACCCATTCTATAAAGCCTGTTTTTACAGCAGAGATGAACATGTTTACAGCCTGGTTCAAAAAACCAAATAGGTGTGATTAGCTCATGTCTGGATGGACACACACTGTACGGGGGGTGAATGTTTTGATGACTCATCAGTTTTGATTTGATGAAGGATAAGAGTTATTCACAATAAGGCGTGTAGCTGACCTGATTGACAGGTGGGCGCGGTGTAACGGTTTGTCAGGAGGTTTAAAACCCGCCTCAGCTCCAGCTCTCAGCCTGTCGTTAGGTTGACTGAAAGTTAGACTGAGACAGCATTTCCAGCATGGAGACCGCCATCGATGGGACTCCAGCGCCCCCTGCAGGAACACACGGGGATGTCACTCCTGCTCACTGATTAAATTATAGTAAAATGTTGGAGACGTTGGGATTTGTGTCAGACTCAGGGCTGCAACACCAATCGAGTAAATGTTTGCAACAAATTTGATTATCGATTCGCAACTGTTCAGCCTGAACTTTGTCTAAATGTGCTGTTTAAATAAAGTTTACTTTATTATAATGGTGGTACAATGCAGCCCTACTAGGACTTTTATTTGGGTTGCCATGGTGATGACAATGATGTCAATATTGTTAAATTTTTATGAAGTTTAAAATTCTGGTTTCATGACTTCATGACATAACTTTAAATAATTGACTTTGTATTTCAGCCTGAACGGAATTACAGTTTAAATGAAACATTAAAAAGACATCTTTATATTTGACACTAACCAATCACAGGAGACTAATAATATATTTACTCTGTGGAGCTCTAGCGCCCCCTGCTGACAGCAGTCGGCCCGCAGAGCTCGGTTCCTGTTTCCGAACAAACCCGAACACTTCCGAAGACAGCCTCCCCTCTCGCTCCCTCCTCCTCCCTTTCACGCCTAATGTTGCTGTACCTCCAACCCTCCCCCTATCACAGGAGGAGAAACAACCCGCCGCCATTTTGTTTGTGCGGACGGACCGTCAGAAACGGGGGAGAGAACCGAGAGGAGCGACTCCGGTAACCGACTACAGCCGCTCCGTGAGCACCGGGAGCGGAGAGAGAGAGAGAGAGAGAGAGAGAGAGACCGGACGGCCTGCCGGTGAGAGAGAGAGAGAGAGAGAGAGAGAGAGAGAGGGAGAGAGAGAGAGAGAGAGAGAGGGAGAGAGAGAGAGACAGAGAGACAGAGAGAGAGACAGAGAGAGAGGGAGAGACAGAGAGACAGAGAGAGAGAGAGAGAGAGAGACAGAGAGAGAGGGAGAGACAGAGAGAGAGAGAGAGAGAGAGAGAGAGAGAGAGAGAGAGAGAGAGTGATTTTACTGTTCATGAGGAAACACTCTGAGCGACACCGAGCAGGACAAAATTAATCTGAGCGAGAAAAATGATGATATGAAAGATCAGCAGGAGTCCGGGACCGTGTGTGAGGAAGGAGAGAGACCGGAATAAAGTGCTGCCGATCCCCACAGAGGAGGTCTAACCGGTCCACATACAGAAGGAGGTCTACCCATCACAGTGGGGGGGGTCAATGAGGAGGTCTGTCCATCACAGGGGGGGGGGGTCAATGAGGAGGTCTGTCCATCACAGGGGGGTCAATGAGGAGGTGTAAAGGAGCATAGTGGACTAAGTGATCTTCAGATTTCAGGTGTTTCCTCCAGCTGGACCTGAAACACAGACTGACATGTTTTCAACTTTCTGTGAGACTTCAAGTGTTTAAACCGGGAGGAGGACTCTCTGCAGGACTCAAGTCTGGACCCAGTCCTGCCCACCTTTATCCCTGCAGGAGGTACTCAGTGGACTGAGAGGAACCCTGTAGTGAGTGACAGAGTACGGGACCGGATTTTCAGCTCCCTGGAAGTCCAGGGTTAGTTACACACACAGAGATACCTGTGCAGGTGAGACACATCCTAACGGGAGGTCACAGACCGGGTCCTCAGGTGATGGCGGACAGGAGGAGCAGCCCGGAGGACGGACGGAGTGAGGAGGCTACATGAGGGAGACCCAGCACCTCCTCCTCCAGAGCAGAGAGTCTGCACACACACACACACACACACCGAGAGACACACACACACCGACCGGCTCTGACCGGGACAAACAGCCGTTACCGAGAGGAGAGTTTCCCCTCCGAGGATTTAAACTTTTTATTCTTTAATTCTTAAAAATGGCCGAAAATGTTCTGGAGTCCGGCCCGCCTTCAGCCAAGAGGCCCAAACTGTCCTCCCCTGCCCTGTCCGACGGAACCGGTAAATATGCTTTATATATAAACATGTATAAATATATAAACATATATAAACATATATAAATATATATAAATATATATAAATATATGAATTAAGTGTTTAAAGTTCAGAGATGGAGATCAGTAAACGTGTTTAAAAGCTGCTAACCTTCACACGGTGTGTTACAGGTAAAGTTTGATTATCAGGTGTGTTACAGGTAAAGTGTGATTATCAGGTGTGTTACAGGTAAAGTGTGATTATAAAGTGAGTTAAAGGTAAACTTTAATCCGGACTGAGGCGGGACAAACTTTTCTTCGGCATGTTTTGATGTGTTAGCCACATCATGCTAACTAGCTAACAATGGGAGAGTCGAGTCACCGGCTCTGTTCACGCTTTCTGCTCCGGTTAACCGTTAAAAATGTTCTAATATAAAAGCATTAAAACGTAGCGCTACGGGCTGTACAGTTTCTTTGTAAATAAAAAGGTTAATTACCGGTTCTACACCGGCTGTAGGAGAAAGTAACGGTAACGGGGGCAGCTAGCTAACTAGCCCGGCTGCTAGCCCCTCCAGACCGGCTCAGCTGAGCTCTGCAGCTCGACAATAACCGAACAATCTCTAAAATCACACTTTGTCCATTAATCAGAACTTTTTAGATTGAGTGGGTAACTGTGAGTGTGTGCTCGGTGTGTCCACACAGCTCTCCGTGTTGTTAGCTTCTTGTTCTGTCCCATTGTTCAGGAAAGTTGCAGCTCCACGGAGATGTTTCCGTTTGTTTACTTTGAACATTTAAAACACATTAAAATGTTCATCCCGAGATCACATCAGTGTCTGAAATGTGTCCTTTCATTAAGAAGTTGTTGTGTAAAGGTGTTTAGTGTTTCCATTGTTGTTCCTCTATTGTTCGACTGTTGGATCTTTGTTCACTTTATTCGACTCGTTTTCTCTTCACTTCACTTTGTGATGTTTTCAGTGTAACTGCAGGATTTATTAATATAACTACTTAATGTTCAGAGTTATTTCTAACTTTATTTATGGAGCTTAAATCTCAGCTCCTCACTGGGGGGGGGGGCACGCTGTCTCTCATTGGTTAGTACAAACTGATTGAATGTGCTAGAGGAGTGTAGAAGTGACTGTTTATATCAGAGGCTGTTTTCTGCTGGAGGGTGAATAATGAAGAGTAAACCCACTACACTGTGATGAAGACGTAGACGGCCATCTTTAAAGTTCAGATGCTTCACTGCTCTCATGATTGGATAACCATCATCCTGTCAGAGCGAGAGAATGTTTCTGTACCAAAATGTGAGTCAGTTTGCAACTTTTGATCCTTAAAAACAATAAATGATTCTGTGTCTAGGATCTCGGTCTATCCAAGAGGTATCGACATCTTTCTGGTAACGTTTACAAGGTTTCTTTACTTTGTCCGGTCTCCTTAAGGGGGTTTAGGGTTAGCTCTGCCCCCCCTCTAAAGAATCTCCTCCTCCTTTTAGTTTCCTCCACATTACTGTCCTGCTCTCACTGAGGGAGAGAGGACTACAGTCATCACTTTGATTTCTACTCAAAGGATTAGGGTCTTCACCAGGCTCCTGGGTTAGGTTCTTCACCAGGCTCCTGGGTTAGGGTCTTCACCAGGCTCCTGGGTTAGGGTCTTCACCAGGCTCCTGGGTTAGGGTCTTCACCAGGCTCCTGGGTTAGGTTCTTCACCAGGCTCCTGGGTTAGGGTCTTCACCAGGCTCCTGGGTTAGGTTCTTCACCAGGCTCCTGGGTTAGGTTCTTCACCAGGCTCCTGGGTTAGGTTCTTCACCAGGCTCCTGGGTTAGGGTCTTCACCAGGCTCCTGGGTTAGGTTCTTCACCAGGCTCCTGGGTTAGGGTTAGGGTCTTCACCAGGCTCCTGGGTTAGGTTCTTCACCAGGCTCCTGGGTTAGGGTTAGGTTCTTCACCAGGCTCCTGGGTTAGGGTTAGGGTCTTCACCAGGCTCCTGGGTTAGGGTTAGGTTCTTCACCAGGCTCCTGGGTTAGGTTCTTCACCAGGCACCTGGGTTAGGGTTAGGTTCTTCACCAGGCTCCTGGGTTAGGGTCTTCACCAGGCTCCTGGGTTAGGGTTAGGTTCTTCACCAGGCTCCTGGGTTAGGGTCTTCACCAGGCTCCTGGGTTAGGGTTAGGGTCTTCACCAGGCTCCTGGGTTAGGTTCTTCACCAGGCTCCTGGGTTAGGGTCTTCACCAGGCTCCTGGGTTAGGTTCTTCACCAGGCTCCTGGGTTAGGGTCTTCACCAGGCTCCTGGGTTAGGGTTAGGGTCTTCACCAGGCTCCTGGGTTAGGTTCTTCACCAGGCTCCTGGGTTAGGGTTAGGTTCTTCACCAGGCTCCTGGGTTAGGGTTAGGGTCTTCACCAGGCTCCTGGGTTAGGGTTAGGTTCTTCACCAGGCTCCTGGGTTAGGTTCTTCACCAGGCACCTGGGTTAGGGTTAGGTTCTTCACCAGGCTCCTGGGTTAGGGTCTTCACCAGGCTCCTGGGTTAGGGTTAGGTTCTTCACCAGGCTCCTGGGTTAGGGTCTTCACCAGGCTCCTGGGTTAGGGTTAGGGTCTTCACCAGGCTCCTGGGTTAGGTTCTTCACCAGGCTCCTGGGTTAGGGTCTTCACCAGGCTCCTGGGTTAGGTTCTTCACCAGGCTCCTGGGTTAGGGTCTTCACCAGGCTCCTGGGTTAGGGTTGGGGTCTTCACCAGGCTCCTGGGTTAGGGTCTTCACCAGGCTCCTGGGTTAGGGTTAGGGTCTTCACCAGGCTCCTGGGTTAGGGTCTTCACCAGGCTCCTGGGTTAGGGTCTTCACCAGGCTCCTGGGTTAGGGTTAGGGTCTTCACCAGGCTCCTGGGTTAGGGTTAGGGTCTTCACCAGGCTCCTGGGTTAGGTTCTTCACCAGGCTCCTGGGTTAGGTTCTTCACCAGGCTCCTGGGTTAGGGTCTTCACCAGGCTCCTGGGTTAGGGTTAGGTTCTTCACCAGGCTCCTGGGTTAGGGTCTTCACCAGGCTCCTGGGTTAGGGTTAGGGTCTTCACCAGGCTCCTGGGTTAGGTTCTTCACCAGGCTCCTGGGTTAGGGTCTTCACCAGGCTCCTGGGTTAGGTTCTTCACCAGGCTCCTGGGTTAGGGTCTTCACCAGGCTCCTGGGTTAGGGTTAGGGTCTTCACCAGGCTCCTGGGTTAGGGTCTTCACCAGGCTCCTGGGTTAGGGTTAGGGTCTTCACCAGGCTCCTGGGTTAGGGTCTTCACCAGGCTCCTGGGTTAGGGTCTTCACCAGGCTCCTGGGTTAGGGTTAGGGTCTTCACCAGGCTCCTGGGTTAGGGTTAGGGTCTTCACCAGGCTCCTGGGTTAGGGTTAGGATCTTCACCAGGCTCCTGGGTTAGGGTTAGGGTCTTCACCAGGCTCCTGGGTTAGGGTTAGGGTCTTCACCAGGCTCCTGTATGACGAGGTTAGAGGTGCGTCTATGTGGCATGTAAATCTCTTTCTGTTCTAACATTTCTGTCTCTCTCGATCACGTTCAGATTTTGGCTCCCTGTTCGACCTGGAGCAAGACCTCCCAGACGAGCTCATTGGCTCCTCAGACCTCGGGTTGGCCAACGGGGGGGATGTGAACCTGCTCCACGCCGGTCTGAGCGGAGGACAGGATGCTGCTGCCAAACATAAACAGCTGTCTGAACTGTTGAGGACTGCAGCTCCTCCTGGGGGGGTGATGGGAGGTCCTCAGGGCGGGCCCTCCCCTCAGTCTGGATTCATGCAGCAGGTCGGAGGGGGTGGGGCTGTGAACAGAGCGGCCATGATGGCTTCTCAGAAGGGGAACAATGGAGCACAGCAGCAAGGCCTGATGGGAGGTCAGGTGATGAACGGCTCAACGAGGGTCGGTTTCCCCGGAGGTGCAGGGATGGTAAACAGTAACCATATGTCAGCTGACGGCCTGCAGCCAATCAGAACACAGCAACCTGCAGCTGTGAACAAGGTGAGCACGCTCCACGCAGCACACTCAGGTGAACGTAACCTTGGTAACGGTGTGAGGCAGGAAGTCATGACTGTCTCAGTCTGTAGGTGTACATGTGAGAACTTGTGTTGTTGCCACAAATAAACAAGCTGCTCCTCCATTTCTGACATCCGTCTAACTTTGTGCGGTTGCCATGGTTATGTGAGTTGTGCTTCCTGCTGATTGGCTCTAGTTCCGCTCACGTGGGAGTCCACAGAGTCCGTGCTCGGCCGTCCTCGCGGTTCTTTCCGATCGTAATTATTTAACACGTTTAATATCTCAGAATGTGGAGGTTAAAATCTCTCTGAACATCAGAAGATGATTAGTTTGTCCTCTTGACTCAGCTCAGACACAAACCGTGTTCAGGCTGCGAGTGACCCACACGGCGTCACAGTGCGGCGTCCATGTTGAGCATAAACACTCTGAGAGTACGGAGGAGTGTTAGCGCGTCTCTTAGGCGTCTGATCATTATATAGTCGTTTTAACATTTTAAAGTCTGAACAACGTCTGACCACACGTCACGAGTAATCTGTTTTTTATTCTTCAGATGATGATGGCTAATGTCGGCCCCTATGGCGCTCCCTATGCTCAGTCGGGAGGCCCGGGGCCTCCAGGAGCCGGGCTGGGCCCTCAGCACCAGAATAAAACCAACATGGCCACTCAGTTCACCATGGAGAAGAAGACGGCACCGGGTCAGAGCGTGACGGGGATGGTATGATCAGCCTGATTGTTAACGTTTGTCTGAAGTGATGTCATCAGGTCATTTAGGAACGAAGTGTTCATCACACGTGCAGACGGTTCATCGATGAGTCGATCTCTCTGACAGGAAACGTGTTATGCTCTTTGTCCTCTCAGCAGCCCAGAGCGCTCACAGGAGTTTCTCTCAGCGGTGCGATGGGTGGGGCTCAGGTAGGTCTGAACACCGTGGGGGCGTGTCCCGGGACAGCGCCCCCTGCTGCAGATCCTGAAAAACGTAAGCTGATCCAGCAGCAGCTGGTCCTGCTGCTTCACGCTCACAAATGTCAGCGCAGAGAGCAGGCGAACGGCGAGCCCAGGCCGTGTAACCTCCCGCACTGTCGTACCATGAAGAACGTCCTGAACCACATGACGCACTGCCAGGCCGGGAAGTCGTGTCAGGGTGAGTCTGATTACCCACCATCTATCAAACTGTACAAATGTGTGTAATTAATCGATGTTTCCGTCCCTCAGTGGCTCACTGCGCCTCGTCCAGACAGATCATCTCTCACTGGAAGAACTGCACCAAACACGACTGTCCCGTCTGTCTGCCGCTGAAGAACGCAGGAGACAAGAGGAGCCAGCAGGGTGAGCACAGAGCCCAGGTTCATAGTCCGGGCTCAGAGTCCGTCCCGGCTCGGATCATAAACTACAATATAATGATATGATGAGCAATTGATTGACAGCTTGAATAACCTAAGCCCCGCCCCTGTCTTTCACAGCTTTAGTGAACAGTGCTGGTTTAATGAACTCTTTGGGGCCGGTGGCTCCTGGTGGACAGTCAAACCCCCCCACCCTGACCCCCCCAAACCAGATCGACCCTGGCTCCATAGAGAGAGCCTACGCTGCCCTCGGACTCACCTACCAGGGAAACCAGACCGCCCAGAACAACATGCAGAGCCCATCGGGGGTCAGGAGTCTGAACAGCATGGGTCAGTGTGGACGAGAAGTCGTGATTAATTATTACGCTCTGGGTTATGTCCTGTGTGGAAATAATAATTTATACTTTATTAATCCTGCGAGGGATGACATGCATTAATGGAGAGGTCTCAGAGTGAGGGGGGGCGGGGGGCTGCCCACAGCAAGTGCTCCAGAGTTGGTGGGGGGTTTGGTGCCTTGCTCAAGGGCACCTTGGCAGTGCTCAGGAAGTGGACTGGCACCTCTCTAGCTACCAGACCAGTTGCTGGACCAGTTGCCCTCCGATTCCCAACCCAAATCCCTTCAGACTGAGCTACTGCAGAGAGCTGGTTTACGGTGTCTTTATATGCTGAGTATTCTCAGCTTTAGACCTGAACAGACCGGTTGACCCGCTCCACGGGCCCTGTGAGTCCTGGATGATGAGTAGATCTGAAGGTTAGTCTGGAGGGTTGCAGTGATATGTTGTGTACCCTCCAGTCTGCTGCTGTACTATGACCAGGAGGTAAACAACAGGACGTCAGTGTTTCGATCTATAAACTGAAGATTAGATTTATATGTCATCTGTGTCAGGTTCACAGACTAGACTAGACTAAGACTAGTATTAGCGATGCTAAGGTTAGCCACGCTCTGAAAACCTATTTGACATCATTTACAGACGGCCAAATTCAACCTACAGCGCCATGCTGTTTGCTTTTCTTCTCTCCTTCACAATGAACCAAACTCTGGTGCACTTGGAATCAGACCCCCGTTTCAAAGCGACCAGAGTTCGGTTCTTTTGGTCCGTTTCAGTGTTCACACCATCCAAACCAAACGAAGTATCCAACAAAGGTCACCAGAGTTCAAACGGAGCAAACAGTGAGAGGCAGCATCAGTGTTTGTGTGGAAACGTTCTTATGAAACACACACAGAAAACCTGCTGGCCTTTTCATTTATCAAACCTTTAAAATGTTTGTGATCCAAACAAACTGTGAAACGGCTCTGTCTCTTTTCAGGAGGAAACTCAATGAATGGAGGCGCGAGTGTTCAGTCAGCGAACCAGCAGCTGCACAACAACATGAACACACAGAGGTAATTCAATTCAATTCAATTCAAAAACAAGTGTTATCTCAAGACACTTTACAAAAAGCAGGTAAAAAACCTTACTCTTTGTCTGTTAACATTACAAAAGAGCAGGTAAAAAGACCTTACTCATTGTTATGTTACAAAGACCCGGCCTATCCATCATGAGCACTTTAGCAAAGCAGCAAAAGTTACATTGGTAAGAAAAAACTTTCTTATTAAAAGGCAGAAATCTTCGGCCGGATCCCCGGCTCATGACGAAACAGCCTTCACAGGTCTAGACTGCGCCGGGGTTGGAAAGGGATAGGGGAAGAGATGGGATAAGATGCAGGAAGAGGGATAGGGAGCAAGGGGGTGGGGGGAGGCAAACCGTCCATCAACACTCTGGTGGGGAGGGGGAGGGGGGTTGTTCTAGCAGGCCGTCAGAGACCGGTAAGAGGTCCAGGACCAGGGGTCCAGGACCAGGGGTCTGTTTAATTCAGACAACATTAACACACAGAGGTAAGGGGTCCCGCTCAGGAGCAGGGGTCTGATAGTCCTAGCCCGTCAGATATCAGATATTTAGACTGAAGTCTGAAAGTCTAAGGGGGGTCATGTTGGTCTCTTCTGAAGCCTCTCTCCTCCTCTCAGCTTGATGAACGATGGTTTGGGGGCCCTGAGCTCGATGCCCACAGCAGGTCCCCCTTCATCAGACATGACAAAGTCGTGGCATGAAGACATCACACAGGACCTCCGGAACCACCTGGTCCACAAACTGTGAGTCACTGTCTGAAAAACTGGACATCCAATCAGATTGTTTAAAGCTGGACTCTGTCCTCACGTTGAACGCTGTCTCTGTGTCTGTGGGTCTGTGGTGTGTGTGAGCAGTGTGCAGGCCATCTTCCCCACCCCCGATCCCGCCGCTCTCAAGGACCGCAGGATGGAGAACCTGGTGGCCTACGCCCGAAAAGTGGAGGGGGACATGTACGATTCAGCGGGCAGCAGGGTAAGACTCTAAACCTGGTCTCTGTCTGTAACCTGGTCTCTGTCTGTGACCTGGTCTCTGTCTTTAACCTGGTCTCTGTGAGTGACCTGGTCTCTGTGAGTGACCTGGTCTCTGTCTATAACCTGGTCTCTGTCTGTGACCTGGTCTCTGTGAGTAACCTGGTCTCTGTCTGTGACCTGGTCTCTGTGAGTAACCTGGTCTCTGGTCTGTGACCTGGTCTCTGTCTTTACCTGGTCTCTGTGAGTGACCTGGTCTCTGTGAGTGACCTGGTTCTCTGAGTGACCTGGTCTCTGTCTATAACCTGGTCTCTGTCTGTGACCTGGTCTCTGTGAGTAACCTGGTCTCTGTGAGTGACCTGGTCTCTGTCTGTGACCTGGTCTCTGTCTGTGACCTGGTCTCTTCTGTAACTGATCTATGTGAGTGACCTGGTCTCTGTTGTAACCTGGTCTCTGTCTGTAACCTGGTCTCTGTCTGTAACCTGGTCTCTGTCTGTAACCTGGTCTCTGAGTGACCTGGTCTCTGTGAGTAACCTGGTCTCTGTTGTAACCTGTCTCTGTGAGTAACCTGGTCTCTGTGAGTAACCTGGTCTCTGTGAGTAACTGGTCTCTGTGAGTAACCTGGTCTCTGTCTGTAACCTGGTCTCTGTCTGTAACCTGGTCTCTGAGTGACCTGGTCTCTGTGAGTAACCTGGTCTCTGTCTGTAACCTGGTCTCTGTGAGTAACCTGGTCTCTGTGAGTAACCTGGTCTCTGTGAGTAACCTGGTTCTGTCTGTAACCTGGTCTCTGAGTGACCTGGTCTCTGTGAGTAACCTGGTCTCTGTGAGTAAACCTGGTCTCTGAGTGACCTGGTCTCTGTGAGTAACCTGGTCTCTGAGTGACTGGTCTCTGTGAGTACCTGGTTCTGAGTGACCTGGTCTCTGAGTGACTGGTCTCTGTGAGTAACCTGGTCTCTGTGAGTAACCTGGTCTCTGTGAGTAACCTGGTCTCTGTGAGTAACCTGGTCTCTGTCTGTAACCTGGTCTCTGTCTGTAACCTGGTCTCTGTCTGTAACCTGGTCTCTGAGTGACCTGGTCTCTGTGAGTAACCTGGTCTCTGTCTGTAACCTGGTCTCTGTGAGTAACCTGGTCTCTGTCTGTAACCTGGTCTCTGTGATAACCTGGTCTCTGTGAGTAACCTGGTCTCTGTGAGTAACTGGTCTCTGTGAGTAACCTGGTCTCTGTGAGTAACCTGGTCTCTGAGTGACCTGGTCTCTGTGAGTGACCTGGTCTCTGAGTGACCTGGTCTCTGTGAGTAACCTGGTCTCTGAGTGACCTGGTCTCTGAGTGACCTGGTCTCTGTGAGTAACCTGTCTCTGTGAGTAACCTGGTCTCTGTGAGTAACCTGGTCTCTGTGAGTAACCTGGTCTCTGAGTGACCTGGTCTCTGTGAGTGACCTGGTCTCTGTGAGTAACCTGGTCTCTGTGAGTGACCTGGTCTCTGTGAGTAACCTGGTCTCTGAGTGACCTGGTCTCTGTGAGTGACCTGGTCTCTGTGAGTGACCTGGTCTTGAGTAACCTGGTCTCTGTGAGTAACCTGGTCTCTGAGTGACCTGGTCTCTGTGAGTAACCTGGTCTCTGTGAGTAACCTGGTCTCTGAGTGACCTGGTCTGTGAGTGACCTGGTCTCTGTGAGTGACCTGGTCTCTGAGTGACCTGGTCTCTGTGAGTGACCTGGTCTCTGTGAGTGACCTGGTCTCTGTGAGTAACCTGGTCTCTGTGAGTGACCTGGTCTGTGAGTGACCTGGTCTCTGTGAGTAACCTGGTCTCTGAGTAACCTGGTCTCTGTGAGTGACCTGGTCTCTGTGAGTGACCTGGTCTCTGTGAGTAACCTGGTCTCTGTGAGTAACCTGGTCTCTGAGTGACCTGGTCTGTGAGTGACCTGGTCTCTGTGAGTAACCTGGTCTCTGAGTGACCTGGTCTCTGTGAGTGACCTGGTCTCTGTGAGTAACCTGGTCTCTGAGTGACCTGGTCTCTGTGAGTAACCTGGTCTCTGTGAGTAACCTGGTCTCTTGTGTGTTACATGTTTCAGGCTGAGTACTATCACCTGCTGGCAGAGAAGATCTATAAGATCCAGAAGGAGCTGGAGGAGAAGAGGAGAACACGGCTGCAGAAACAGGGCGGGACAACAGGACATGCTGGCATCTCCTCCCCCCCTCTCAGCATGGGACAGCCCCCGATTAACCTGGGACAGCCCCCCATAAGCCCGGGACAATCCCCCAGTAAGTAACCCCTTTTCCATCAGGCAGTCGGTCTATAAGATCAAGAACACATTTCAGACAGACTGCCCCCAAAGTCTTCCTGGAGTCTTCCTGGAGTCTTCCTGGAGTCTTCCTGGAGTCTTCTTGGAGTCTTCCTGGAGTCTTCCTGGAGTCTTCTTGGAGTCTTCTTGGAGTCTTCCTGGAGTCTTCTTGGAGTCCTCCTGGAGTCTTCCTGAAGTCTTCTTGGAGTCTTCTTGGAGTCTTCTTGGAGTCCTCCTGAAGTCTTCCTGAAGTCTTCTTGGAGTCTTCTTGGAGTCTTCCTGGAGTCTTCTTGGAGTCCTCCTGGAGTCTTCCTGGAGTCTTCTTGGAGTCTTCCTGGAGTCTTCTTGGAGTCTTCTTGGAGTCCTCCTGGAGTCTTCTTGGAGTCTTCCTGGAGTCTTCTTGGAGTCTTCTTGAGTCTTCTTGGAGTCTTCCTGGAGTCTTCTTGGAGTCCTCCTGGAGTCTTCCTGGAGTCTTCCTGGAGTCTTCTTGGAGTCTTCTTGGAGTCCTCCTGGAGTCTTCTTGGAGTCTTCCTGGAGTCTTCTTGGAGTCTTCTTGGAGTCTTCTTGGAGTCTTCCTGGAGTCTTCTTGGAGTCTTCTTGGAGTCCTCCTGGAGTCTTCTTGGAGTCCTCCTGGAGTCTTCTTGGAGTCTTCCTGGAGTCTTCTTGGAGTCCTCCTGGAGTCTTCCTGGAGTCTTCTTGGAGTCTTCCTGGAGTCTTCTTGGAGTCCTCCTGGAGTCTTCTTGGAGTCTTCCTGGAGTCTTCCTGGAGTCTTCTTGGAGTCTTCTTGGAGTCTTCCTGGAGTCTTCCTGGAGTCCTCCTGGAGTCTTCCTGGAGTCTTCTTGGAGTCTTCTTGGAGTCTTCCTGGAGTCCTCCTGGAGTCTTCCTGGAGTCTTCTTGGAGTCCTCCTGGAGTCTTCCTGAAGTCTTCTTGGAGTCTTCTTGGAGTCTTCTTGGAGTCCTCCTGAAGTCTTCCTGAAGTCTTCTTGGAGTCTTCTTGGAGTCTTCCTGGAGTCTTCTTGGAGTCCTCCTGGAGTCTTCCTGGAGTCTTCTTGGAGTCTTCCTGGAGTCTTCCTGGAGTCTTCTTGGAGTCCTCCTGGAGTCTTCCTGGAGTCTTCTTGGAGTCTTCTTGGAGTCCTCCTGGAGTCTTCTTGGAGTCTTCCTGGAGTCTTCTTGGAGTCTTCTTGGAGTCTTCTTGGAGTCTTCCTGGAATCTTCTTGGAGTCTTCTTGGAGTCCTCCTGGAGTCTTCTTGGAGTCCTCCTGGAGTCTTCTTGGAGTCTTCTTGGAGTCTTCCTGGAGTCTTCTTGGAGTCCTCCTGGAGTCTTCCTGGAGTCTTCTTGGAGTCTTCCTGGAGTCTTCTTGGAGTCTTCTTGGAGTCTTCTTGGAGTCTTCTTGGAGTCCTCCTGGAGTCTTCTTGGAGTCCTCCTGGAGTCTTCTTGGAGTCTTCTTGGAGTCCTCCTGGAGTCTTCTTGGAGTCTTCTTGGAGTCTTCCTGGAGTCTTCCTGGAGTCTTCTTGGAGTCTTCTTGGAGTCTTCCTGAAGTCTTCCTGAAGTCTTCTTGAAGTCTTCCTGGAGTCTTCTTGGAGTCTTCTTGGAGTCCTCCTGAAGTCTTCCTGAAGTCTTCTTGAAGTCTTCCTGGAGTCTTCTTGGAGTCTTCTTGGAGTCTTCTTGGAGTCTTCTTGGAGTCCTCTGGAGTCTTCCTGGAGTCTTCTTGGAGTCTTCTTGGAGTCTTCCTGGAGTCTTCTTGGAGTCTTCCTGGAGTCTTCTTGGAGTCTTCTTGGAGTCTTCCTGGAGTCTTCTTGGAGTCTTCCTGGAGTCTTTCTGGAGTCTTCCTGGAGTCTTTCTGGAGTCTTCCTGGAGTCTTCCTGGAGTCCTCCATAGGACTCTATGATGATAATCTGTGTCTTTGTATCGATGTCACGTGTAGTTGAGGGTTAGGGGTTAGCCTAATCTTAACCCCTAACCCCTAACCCCTAACCCCTAACCCTAACCCTAACCCTAACCCTACCCTAACCCTAACCTTAACCCTTAACCCCTAACCCCTAACCCTTACCCCTAACCCCTAACCCTACCCTAACCCCTAACCCCTAACCCCTAACCCCTAACCCTACCCTAACCCTACCCTAACCCTAACCTTAACCCCTAACCCCTAACCCTAGTAAAGAGTGGAGAAGAACATCCTGGAGAACAGGAAACATGCAGCAGCAGGTTGATTAGAGCACGGAGATGGTAGAGGTGGCGTGCAGACAGTCTATGGTTGTGCAGCGATCACAGGTGAATAAAGGTCACCTCTCGTGCCCCCTGACTGCAGGCCGTCACCCTGCGGTCTCTACAGGTGTTCCAGTCCGGTTTTGCTCTCAGGTCTGCGCGTCCCATGCTAACGGAGTGACGCGGTGCTTTGTGGCGCTCACTCGTGGGTTAGAGTTTTGGTTTTATGAGATGTCCCGCCCCCTCTTGTTTTGGATTGGTCAGTGAGGGAGAGCTGGATGTGAACTCTCTGACTTGTGTGTTCTTCAGATGGTCCTCATGTCGATGCGTCCATGATGCGAGCAGCTGGAGCCAATCAGATGGTCAGGATGCAGAGCCCTGCAGGTACGTGTCTGTCAGAAGGAAGGAAACACGAGGACTCACCTGTCTCTCCTCTCTCACCTGTAGGGCTCAGTCTCACCTGTCTCTCCTCTCTCACCTGTAGGACTCAGTCTCACCTGTCTCTCCTCTCTCACCTGTAGGACTCAGTCTCACCTGTCTCTCCTCTCTCACCTGTAGGACTCAGTCTTACCTGTCTCTCCTCTCTCACCTGTAGGACTCAGTCAGTTTGGTCAGGTGGGCGTTCAGTCGATGGCTCAGAGGTTGACTCCTCCCCTTCCTCCTAACGCTCCAGTCAACCAGGTGAGCTTCACCATCCAATCACAAGTGATTCCAGAAACACAGGCGGCTGAAACATTGACCTTGTCTTCAAACTTTGTTTAAGTTTATGTGTCAAGGATAAATAAAGTTCAGCCCTCCAATCCTGAGAACATTTAAATGTGAACAGATCACCTTTATATACCAGAGAGTGTAAAGCAGGAAACATGAACAGGAAGTGACAACATGAGAGAAAATCCTGAAAGAGTAAAACAGAAAGCTGTAATAAAATGATGCAGTGTTTCCCTTACCATTATATTAGGGGCAGCACACACCCCCCCCCCCACTTGAAGGTCAAGTTAATAAAAAAAAAATATATATTTCTTGTTTTTTTCTTAGATTTATTTTTGGGCTTTTTGTGCCGGAGTCGGAAATAAGGGAAAGAAGTCATTTAAGGATACCTTTCTGATAGAACAGGACAGCTGTCATTAAAAGTAACACATGAACACCAAGATTCCTTAGCGTGTTTGTGTCTGCGTCCGTCTGCCCGCACCCCCCCACCCCCCAAAGCTGTAAACCCATGGGGAACACTGTGATGAGTACATAACAAATAATCAAATATTTGCTAATCAATCATTAAAATCAAAAACTGGAAACAATGTTGACCAAGGTGATAAAATGATTTCAGAATAAAAGCCTGATTAAAAAGGTAGTTTACTTTAAAAAAAAGCAGCTCGCCGTCTCCTCTGGTTATGCTTTTTATACGTTATAATTATTCAATGAAACATAAAAAACGTGTTTGTTTTTAGATGACTATGGGAGCCCGGGTGGGTCAGTCCAACGCAACACAGATGCAGAACCAGTACCTCCCTGCAGCCCAACTTCCAGGGTCCAGTCCTGGTCATGGTCCTGGTTACAGTCATGGTCATGGTCCTGGTCCCGGTCCTGGTCCTGGTCCCGGTCCCGGACATGGTCCTGGTCCCGGTCCCGGTCTTGGTCATGACCCTGATCCTGGGATGAACCAGTCTGGAGGTCAGACTTCAGGTCCACAGGTAAGAGAGAGGACCTTAAAGTCTGTGTAAAAAGTGTTTTTAAAGCGGGTCAGGGTTTGGTTGCTAGTGGCCTAGTGGTGACTGCATGTGTCCCATGTACGGAGGCTGTAGTCCAGGGATTGGCCGGCTGGATTCAAATCCAACCTATGCCCCACCCCCCTCCTCGTCTTTTGTTTGGACTCTTGTGGCCAGCAGAGAGTAGAGCGTTGTCAGATCCTCAGCTGTTAGAAAACGTGCAGATTGTCAGGACGCCATGATGACGCCTTCACACTGTCAGCTGTTCTCTTTACTCACTCTTTGTTTATCAATGAAGCAAACAAACGTTTATAAATAAATAGATCTGAAGAGGCGGAGCAAACAGGTGTCTCTCTGACCTCTCTGTGTCTCCTGCAGATGAACCACGCGTCCACACCGTCCCCCCTCCCAGCCTACAGCCCTGCAGCTCCGCCCCCCTCAGGCTCCGGGGGGCCCTGTAGTGTGGGGGGTACTGGGCCTCCATCCTGTTCCTCCAGCCAGCCTCACTGCCCCCCCGTCAGGATGAACTCCCCCTCACCTGCCCGCAGTTTAACACCTCAACCTCTCCAAACACCGCCCACTTTACCAAGAAGTCAGACCCCCCAGACCCCCAGCACCCCCCCACTGGCCCCCCAACAACAACAACAACACCAACGACTGCTACAACAACAACAACAACATCCTGCTCCACTGCAGGCATCATTGGGGGAGACAGGCAACACAGACAAAGCCAATCAGTTTCCTCAGCAGATGCTTGGAGGTGTGGCTTCCCCAACCCTTCAGGCAGTTACCCAGAATGCTTCAGTGCCTCTGCAGCGGCCGCAGACGCCGGTGAGTATCACCCTGCTCTCACTTTAAATGCTCATTTAAAATAGATGTGTGCGTCACTCCCCCTGTCCCTAATGTTCCACTTTTGATGATCTTTTCTCTGAAAGTTCAAACATTCTCCAAAGTTTTCTTGAATTTCTCTGTTCTGGCTTGAACTCTTGGCTTCACTGCCCCCAGGATAGTTTTGTCTCTGAGGGATCAGTTTAACCCTTTGTTTCCTCCTCAGCTGTCTCCTAAACCCTCGGGGACTGCAGACACTCAGGTGTCCTCTCCGGCCTCGCTCAGCAGCTCAGACCTCGCTCCAAACCATGACGACATCAAGGTGGAGGTGAAGCAGGAGGAGGAGGAGCGGGAGGAGGAGGAGGAAGAGGAGGAGGAGGAGGAGGAAGGAGGAGACAGTAAAGGAGAGGGGAAGGGGAAGATGGGAAAGGGTCAGAGTGATGTGAAGTCTGAGGACAAACCAGAGGTGAGGCTGTTCACCACACATAATAATAGTAATGATATCAGTGTAGGCTTGAGCTGATTGGTGTTTATTCTGACGTTTCCTCTCAAATAAAGACTGAGAAGCCCTCGGGTGGGGGGGGTAAAGGTGAGCCCATGGACACGCCCTCGTCCTCCATGACCTCGTCATTATCCTCAGGTGAGGACAAGAAGGTGGAGGTGAAGAAGGAGCCAAAAGAGGAGAAGGAGGAGAAGGATGAGGAGGGGTCTCCAGCTGGAGCTCAGAGCAAGAAGAAAAGTATGTGTGTTTGTTTTTTAGATGGTTTTAGATGGAGAGGGTCCGTTTAAATCCACAGGTCAGATTTTAGCGTCTCATTAAGAAGTCAAAGTTGCGTTGAGGACGTGTCATCATCTCTCCTGCGTCTCCTGCAGTCTTTAAGCCTGAGGAGCTGCGCCAGGCACTCATGCCCACCCTGGAGGCGCTGTACCGCCAGGACCCTGAGTCCCTCCCCTTCCGTCAGCCGGTGGACGCCCAGTTACTGGGAATACCCGTACGTATTCGAACTAGTAACAAAACTAACCTGGTAAGGGACTGCACTGGCTGCCATTTTGCTTCCACTCTTTCGTTAGAGTCATACTGATTTCTGCTCGTCACATATTTCATTTCCTGCTTCAATCTCTGAGCTGTTCATGTTTCATTACACGAGTTAGAGAGAGAGAGAGAGAGAGAGAGAGAGAGTGTGTGTCTGTGTGTCTGTGTGTCTGTCTTAAATCAAAGCCTTCTCTCTCATGAACTTTGAGTCTTGATTTCAGTAAATCCTGTCGAGTGAATGAGCGGTCATTTCAAAGATGAGTCCAACCTCTGTCAGGGTTCGAGCTTCATTATTGACTCATTCTAACAACAATAAGATTTAAATGTAGTCAGCTGATCAAACTGTTCTTGAGGTGATTGCTTTCATTTATCACTTCATTTACATTTTTTACTCCATCACCTTTTTGTTGTTTTCATCGCTAGCTTTGTAGTTCAGTTCCTCACCTGTAGAGGTGTGTGTAGAGAGGGACCAAACTTTAACCTCATGAATTCTAAACAAACATGACTTCAGATTCAGTACAGAGTTCATAAAGACGTCAGTTAGATCATGTGACTATTAAAGCAGAGATGGATGAAACACTCTGATTAATAAAGACTTCTGTCCCTCTCACACACACTTCATCTCAGCCCTGAATCTGCTGCTCATGCACTGGCTGTGTTCATGCTAACAGCTGTGTTAGTGCTAACAGCTGTGTTAGTGCTAACAGCTGTGTTAGTGCTAACAGCTGCGTTAGTGCTAACAGCTGCGTTAGTGCTAACAGCTGCGTTAGTGCTAACAGCTGCATTCGTGCTAACAGCTGTGTTAGTGCTAACAGCTGTGTTCATGCTAACAGCTGCGTTCGTGCTAACAGTTGTGTTAGTGCTAACAGCTGTGTTCATGCTAACAGCTGTGTTAGTGCTAACAGCTGTGTTCATGCTAACAGCTGTGTAAGTCCTCACAGCTGTGTTCATGCTAACAGCTGTGTTAGTCCTAACAGCTGTGTTCATGCTAACAGCTGTGTTAGTCCTAACAGCTGTGTTCATGCTAACAGCTGTGTTAGTCCTAACAGCTGTGTTAGGCCTAACAGCTGTGTTCGTGCTAACAGCTGCGTTCGTGCTAACAGCTGTGTTTGTGCTAACAGCTGCGTTCGTGCTAACAGCTGCGTTAGTGCTAACAGCTGCATTCATGCTAACAGCTACGTTAGTCCTAACAGCTGTGTTCATGCTAACAGCTACGTTAGTCCTAACAGCTGAGTTACAATGCTCACAGCTGTGTTATTATGCTAACAGTCTGGCAATAATGCTAGCAGCTGTGCTAATGCTAACAGCTATAGCTGCTCTGTTTTCATCGTACTCTTGGTTTCTGAGAGTTGCAGTAGATAGATTATCATGATTCATGAGTACTAAACAATAATTAACGATTAATTTGATGATCTCTGGGTAACAGAGCAACAGAGGTTCAGCAGTTTGTAGAGCTGGAGGTCAGATGTTGTCACGTTTCTCTGTTTGCACACAAAACTCTTTTTCTGCAGCGCTCAACATCCCTGTTCCCCTGCACCCTCTTCTCTCCCTAATCTGGTCCACTCGTACCTTCGCCTGGTCCATCGGTTACTCCGGCTGGTCCCTCTGTTACTCCGCCTGGTCCACTTTGCCTCCCCTGGTCTCATCCTGGTCCATTGGATTGCACCCCCTCTTCTGACCCTGTTCACCTTCAACTCCACTTTCCCCTGGTATCTGGTCTGAACCATGCCTATCAGGACTACTTTGACGTGGTGAAGAACCCGATGGACCTGTCGACCATCAAAAGGAAGCTGGACACGGGTCAGTATCAGGAGCCATGGCAGTACGTTGACGATATCTGGCTGATGTTTAACAACGCCTGGCTCTACAACCGAAAAACATCCCGAGTGTACAAGTACTGCTCCAAGCTGGCCGAGGTGTTCGAGTCTGAGATCGACCCGGTCATGCAGGACCTGGGTTACTGCTGCGGGCGGAAGGTGAGTCCGGAGGATGAGCTTTACTACCAGAAGGGGGACATGAAGTGGTTTCATTGAGGAGACTTGACCTCAATGAAAACCTGTTTCAGTTAATTGTGGAGATACTACACCCCGACTGATGATACTCCCCGACTGATGTTCCCCCCCGACTGATGATACACCCCGACTGATGATACACATCCCGATTGATGACACACCCCGACTGTTACTACACCCCGACTGTTACTACACCCCGACTGATGCTACACCCCGACTGATGCTACACCCCGATTGATGACACACCCCGATTGATGACACACCCCTACTGTTACTACACCCTGACTGATGATACACCCCGACTGTTGCTACACCCCGACTGATGATACACCCCGACTGATGATACTCCCCGACTGATAATACTCCCCGACTGATGATACTCCCGACTGATGATACTCCCCGACTGATGATACTCCCCGACTGATGACACACCCCGACTGTTACTACACCATGACTGATGATACACCCTGACTGATGCTACACCCTGACTGATGCTACACCCTGACTGATGCTACACCCTGACTGTTACTACACCCTGACTGATGCTACACCCTGACTGTTACTACACCCTGACTGATGCCACACCCTGACTGTTATTACACTCTGACTGATGTTACACCTTGACTGTTGCTACACCCTGACTGATGCTACACCCTGACTGTTGCTACACCCTGACTGTTACTACACCCCGACTGATGATACACCCCGACTGATGATACACCCTGACTGTTACTACACCCTGACTGATGTTACACCCCGACTGTTACTACCCCCCGACTGATGCTACACCCTGACTGATTCTACACCCCGACTGTTGCTACACCCTGACTGTTGCTACACCCTGACTGATGCTACACCCTGACTGATGCCTACACCCTGACTGATGCTACATCATGTTGTTTCTACAGTTTGAGTTTTCTCCACAAACTCTCTGTTGCTACGGGAAACAGTTATGTACCATCCAACGAGACGCCGCTTACTTCAGCTATCAGAACAGGTGAGATCTTCACACTGATCACATACATATCACACACTGATCACACACACACACTGATCAGTTTTTATTCGCTTCGTTGTGTTTTTCTCGAAGTTGTAGAAAATGTTTTTATCAGTTTGATCACAGATTAATTTGATTTGGCTTCCCCTGGTTACCATGGCAACATCTCATTTTCATAACCCACTTTTTCTGTCCTTCAAGTCCTCGTTCATAAAGTGATCTTCTGTCCACCTATACAGGTGTTGAGTGTTTATCCACTAGAAAAGAAAGGTGGTAGAGTAAATGATAAGGATGAGCAGTTTGTTCATTCACTTTATGAATGAAGTCAGAGGACGATCTGTTGCTTTATGGATTCCCCCCTCCTCTCATGTTGCTGCTGCTAATGTTGTTGTTGTTGTTGTTTACCTCTGGATGTCTGATGCTAATCTTTGCTTTGCCTTGGCTCTCTGTCCTCTGTTGGTTGTTGTTTACAACCCCCCTTCCATGCCCCGCCCCTATTCGTCTTACCTTTAACCGTTTTTAAATCTACATTTTGACCTCCCCCTCCCTCCCCCTCCTCCCCCTGTCTACCCTTCTCTACCCCCTTTAACGCTTGTGATGTCTGCATTGGCCTGTTTTGGTGTGACCAATCATCCACTCCAAAATGTACGCTCAAAATCAAAATGCTCCGCCCACTATAAATCCCTGCGTCACGATTGGCTGCTTCCTCCTGGTGACGACCTTCCCCGCCCTCTGCTTCCTCCTGTGTCTCCGCCCCCGGCCTGCTCTGCCCTGCACTGATTGGCGGCTGCTTCTTGGTGCCCTGTCTGTGATTGGCTGTGCTGATGGCGAATGGTGTAGTTCACCAAAATATGGGCTTCTCGCTGACAGGTACCACTTCTGTGAGAAGTGTTTCAACGAGATCCAGAGCGAGAGCGTTTCCCTGGGAGACGACCCCGCCCAGCCTCAGACGTGAGTACCACCACACTGCTATCATTAGCACAGGAAACACTTAATGATTATGATAACAGCGAAGAAGACGGAAGACATATTTTAGATGGCGTGCAGGAGTTAGGCAATATGTTTGTTTGTAAAACTTCTTATCGACATTTTCTGTTTCATTAAAGAACTTAAATGTCTCATAAAAACGCGTTAGTTTGTCTGTAACTCATAACAATACTTCATGATGAGTCTTTATATTTTCTTATTGTTTTGCAGGTCCATCAACAAAGATCAGTTTCAACGGAAGAAAAATGACACGCTCGACCCTGAACTGTACGTTTTCATTTCCCCGTCCGCCACTGAAAAACACACTCCCTCTTTGTTTTAATTCTTTATACTAATTCATGATTGCATCATTGTTTTATATTTCTGCTCAGACTGGTCGAATGTTTGGACTGTGGTCGTAAAAATCATCAGATCTGCGTCCTCCATAATGAAACCATCTGGCCGTCAGGGTGAGACACACACACACACACACACACACACACACACACACAAACATACACACACTACACTTTCACACCTCATTCACAAATTTTTCTTGATAATGTTTGTTTGCTTAGATTAGTTTGTAATAGTTATTTGTTTGATTGAGTTTCATTGACTGACTTGATGTTGCTTTGTTAAATAAATTCTGTTATAATTTAAGAAAGCAGTTGTTTGTGATTACTGGTGTATTTTCATTGTGATATAAGCTGGATGCAAGGGCTTTGTGTACGGATTTCACGCCTTCAATTTATTAAATACAGTTATTAATTATTAATAATATTAGTAATTAAGTAACTAGTTTGAGACTGATTTTAGTGATATTTTGGTTATTTTTCCCTGGTTTCAGGGTGGTGCCCCCGAGGCAATTAAACATAGTTTAATAACATTGTTATTTATATTAATAAATAATTAAATATGATTATTAATAATATAACCAAATTTGACTAGATAAAACTTCAACAAATGGTGCCCCGTGTGAGGCCTTGAATAAAACCAGCTTTATTGCACTGTTAATGCACAGTAATCTGAATTTTTAATCCTAAAAGAGATATTTCTTGAGGAAAAATTATCTTTTCTTTTGAAGATTTACTTTTCTTGCTTTTTGTTTATTCAAAGCAGACAGCAAGCTGTGGCTTAGTTTGTGTCATATGTTGTTGAACATTATGATGCAGCCAGGGCAACTGATGGTGTGTGACATACACAGATGTAGACGTATAAATCTCTCTCTCTCTCTGTCTCTCAGCTTCGTTTGTGATGGCTGCCTGAAAAAATCCAACAAGACTCGTAAAGAGAACAAATATGCAGCAAAGAGTGAGTCTGTCCTCCACCTCTCTCTCTGTCCTCCACCTCTGTCTTCCACCTCTCTCTCTCCTCCACCTCTCTGTCTGTCCTCCACTTCTCTCTCTCCTCCACCTCTCGCTCTGTCCTCCACCTCTCTCTCTCTCTCCTCCACCTCTCTGTCTGTTCTCCACCTCTCTCTCTGTCCTCCACCTCACTGTCTGTTCTCCACCTCTCTCTCTGTCCTCCACCTCTCTCTCTGTCCTCCACCTCTCTCTGTCCTTCACCTCTGTCTCCACCTTTTTGTCTGTCCTCCACCTCTCTGTCTTCATGGGTGGTGTTTCTCGTGTATTTCAGGACTCCCTCAGACAAAACTTGGGAGCTTTTTGGAGACGAGATTGAACGACTACCTGAAGCGTCAGAGTCACCCTGAGACCGGTGAGGTCACCATCAGGGTGGTGCACGTCTCTGATAAGATGGTGGAGGTGAAGCCAGGCATGAAGTCCAGGTAGGAGGTGTAATTTAATAGCTGCTGTAGATGATAAAGGGGGTGAACCCAGTTAAACCTGAACCCTGTCACACACCATCAGTTAGACCTGAACCACTTCACACACCATCAGTTAGACCTGAACCACGTCACACACCCTCAGTTAGACCTGAACCCTGTCACACACTATCAGGTGGAGTCCTCCATCGTTCTGACGTTTTGTTTTCCCTCCTGCAGGTTTGTGGACAGCGGTGAGATGGCAGAGTCCTTCCCCTACAGAACGAAAGCTTTGTTTGCCTTTGAAGACATTGGTGGAGCCGACGTATGTTTTTTCGGTATGCACGTCCAAGAGTATGGCTCTGACTGCCCTCCACCCAATCAGAGACGAGTGTACATCTCTTACCTGGACAGTGTGCACTTCTTCCAACCTCGACACCTGAGGACGGCCGTGTACTACGAGATCCTGCTTGGTTACCTGGAGTACGCCAAGAGGCAGGGGTAAGAGAGGCTCCAGATGACCGAGCAGCAGCTGCATGAACATCAGCACTTAGAACGACTTTCACTTGTGGTCAACCAATTAAACTCTGTCTCCTGGTGTCAGGTTTACCACGGGTCACATCTGGGCGTGTCCACCCAGCGAAGGAGACGATTATATCTTCCACTGTCACCCAGCTGACCAGAAGATCCCCAAACCCAAACGCCTGCAGGAGTGGTACAAGAAGATGCTGGACAAGGCCGTGTCCGAGCGCATCGTGCATGACTACAAGGTGAGACACATTGTTCAATATTATTCATGAATGAACTGAAGACGTATATGTGATTAAGTGTTGAACATAAAATCAAACCTTGAAGCGTGATCAATAAAACTTCACTGAGCAGAAAAAACTGTGAAATAAACATCTACTCAAAGAAAAGTTTCCATCAGTCACAACCTCAAACTTTATTTAATCAGAATTTTCCAGAGAACACAGGGATTATATATCATTAATTCTTTAAAAAGAGTCTTTTAGGGCAATTTGTTGGAGGTGCTTCTCGTAATAACATCCTGAATCAAACTCCAGTTGTCTTGTTATTCTCTACTGATGTTACTGGTTCTACTGTCCTATAAAACGTCTCGTGTGCATCACAGGCTCCATATTTAGACAGGAAACAGGAAGTAGTGTCAGGTCGGACACATGCTTTAGAGACTCGAACATCATGATGATGATGATGAGGATGAGGATGATGATGATGATGATGATGGTGGTGGTGGTGGTGGTGGTGATGATGATGATTCATGATGGTCATGCAGATGATTTAAAGGTAGCACTGACTCTTATCATTTACCTCTGTGTCCCATCAGGACATCTTCAAACAGGCGACCGAGGACCGGCTGACCAGCGCCAAAGAGCTACCGTACTTTGAGGGCGATTTCTGGCCAAACGTGTTGGAGGAGAGCATAAAGGAGCTGGAGCAGGAGGAGGAGGAGAGGAAGAGGGAGGAAAACTGCACCTCCAACGAGAGCCCAGATGTGAGTGTGAGTGTGTGTGTGTTGATGGCTGCTTTGCTTGAAATGAGAAGTCAATGTTCAAAATGAATACATTTCTTTAGAAGAATTTCTTCAGGATAAAACTCTGGACTAAAGCAACAAACTAGTTCATTGAGAAAGTCGCCCTGGCTGCATCATTATGTTCAACAACATACTACACAAACTAAGCCACAGCTTGCGGTCTGCTTTGAATAAACAACAAGCAAGAAAAGTAAATCTTTAAAAGAAAAGTAATTTCTTAAAGTAAGTAATTTTTCCTCAAGAAAAATCTATTTTAGGATTAAAAATGCGGATTACTGTGCATTAAAAGTGCAATACAACTGGTTTTATTGAAGGCCTCACACGGGGCACCATTTGTTGGGGTTTTAGCTAGTTAAACTTTGTTATATTATTAATAATTATTACTTTTTTTAGAATATCTATTTTATTATTTTCAATGTTATTAAACTATGTTTAATTGACTCGGGGCACCACCCTGAAATCAGAGAAAAATAACCAAAATATCATTAAAACCAGTCTCAAACTAGTTACTTAATTACTAATATTATTAATTATTAATAATTGTATTTAATGAATTGAAGGTGTGAAATCTGTACACAAAGCCCTCACACCCAGCTTATATCACAATGCAAATACACCAGTAATCACAAACAACTGCTCTCTTACATTATATTAAGATTAACTTAATCAAACAAATAACTATTACAAACTAATCTTAGCAAACAAACATTAGCAAGCAAAACTTGTGTGTGTGTTTTTCATGGCTTTGCTGATGTGAACTGAATAATCCACAGGCCTCTAAAGGTGACAGCAAGAACGCCAAAAAGAAGAACAATAAGAAGACGAGTAAGAACAAGAGCAACCTGAGCCGAGGCAACAAGAAGAAACCGGGGATGCCCAATGTGTCCAACGACCTGTCCCAGAAACTCTACGCCACCATGGAGAAACACAAAGAGGTACCAGAGAGAGAGGAGAGAAGGATGAGAGCAGCTGAGAGGATGGAGGGAGGGAGGGAGGGAGAAAGGCAGAAAGGCAGGCAGAGGAGCTGAGAGGAGGGAGGAGATGTCAGAAGTAACTACTGTGACATCTGTAACTACAACATCAGGTCGTTATACAGTCCTCTGTGATTGGATGATGAAATGATCTGGGCTCATAGAAAAGGATAAACCATAACTCAAGCCAGCATAAAAGAAATCCATCTGCTTGACCCTCTTTGTTTCATTCTCAGGTGTTCTTCGTCATCCGCCTCATTGCCGTCCCCACCGCCAACTCGCTGCCCCCCATCACTGACCCAGACCCCCTAATGGCTTGCGACCTGATGGATGGCCGGGATGCCTTCCTGACGCTGGCCCGGGACAAACACCTGGAGTTCAGCTCTCTGCGGAGGTCCAGGTGGAGCTCCATGTGTATGCTGGTGGAGCTGCACAACCAGAGCCAGGACCGCTTTGTCTACACCTGCAACGAATGCAAACATCACGTGGAGACACGATTCCACTGCACCGTCTGCGAGGTGAGAACCAGCATCCCACACTTCTAGTGTTATTCCTGGTAGATCCATATACAGCTAAACTAAGTATTACCAGTACACTATATAAAATGGTATGATAAAGTAACTATAATGTGCTTTCAGCATCATTGACCTTTTAGTACACCTGCAACATTGCAAGGTTTGCTGACGTCAAACTTCTACTAAAAGAAAAGACTTTCCTTAATCTGACCTCTCAAACTGACTGGGCTCACTGCTTCTGATACTCTACGTTTGTTTGTTTATTTGGATCCCTGTTAGCTTCAGCATAGCGAGAAGCTATTCTTCCTGGAGTCCGCAGTATGCACTTTGACATTACATTTTATACATTCATATTATATATATTCTTTCCACACTACGCAAACATTCCACAACATATATCATATCTTCAATAACTGAAGAGTAATAAAGACAATTTACATATATGAACAAAGACCCAAAAGAAACAGACCCAAAGGCTCCGTCTGAGTTTACAGCATCTAAAAGATATACATGGTTACACAAAAAATGCCCACTTTAAAGTCTGACTCAGCCTGCATGATCATACCGCTAACCCTGTGACAAAAAACTGTGATTTAGTAAGTCAATATGTTCAAGTCTTGCTAAATGAGAAGAGTTCGACCAAAACTCCAAAACAAAAGGATACGACCATGAGCATGCAGTGTGGCATGATCCACCGCAGGAGGATGGTGGACCAAATGGTCTGTCATCCTTTAGGAAGCTGAGCCACAATGTATTCAGTTCCTCATAAAGGCGGAGTAAGGTGTGCTTCCAAGCCCATCAAATCTCCACAACTGGGGTACAGTAGAGTCCCCATGTGCCCACTGGCCTTCAAAGAACCATGATTAACCCGTTTTTAGGCTCCGCAAACCCTCCAATACATATTAAATTTAAAATGTGAATGAAGGTTTTTGTTGTTTTAATCAATCAACCACTTAACATTGATATCTCTCTCTTCTCTGGACAGGACTACGACCTGTGCATCACCTGCTACAACACCAAAGGCCACGAGCACAAGATGGACAAACTGGGCCTGGGACTGGACGACGACAGCAACAACCCGGCAGCGGCAGCGACTCAGAGTCCCGGAGACTCTCGCCGTCTCAGCATCCAGCGCTGCATCCAGTCTCTGGTCCATGCTTGTCAGTGCCGCAACGCCAACTGCTCCCTGCCGTCCTGCCAGAAGATGAAGCGCGTCGTTCAGCACACAAAGAGCTGCAAGCGAAAAACAAATGGGGGTTGTCCAATCTGCAAGCAGCTGATCGCTCTGTGCTGCTACCACGCCAAACACTGTCAGGAGAACAAATGTCCCGTCCCGTTCTGTCTGAACATCAAGCAAAAGCTGCGTCAGCAGCAGCTGCAGCACCGCCTCCAGCAGGCCCAGATGTTGAGGAGGAGGATGGCAAGCATGCAGCGGGTGGGGCAACCGGCCGGGGGGCCACCTGGAGGACCCATTGTAGGACTTCAATCACCTGGGAACAATGGAACGACTGCACCCAGTACTCCAACATCAGGTGGAACCCAGCCACCAACACCCCAGACCCCAACTCAGACCATGCCTCCTGTCCCACAACAGGGTCTGGGTCCTGGAGTCCAGCAGCAACAAGCTGGGATGCCCAGCCAGCACACCCTCCATCCCCAGTTCCAGCAAATGGGCGGAGGGGGCAGGTTTGGGGGGGTAATGAGCTCCCCTCAACATCAGCAGCAGCAAAGTGGAGCAAATGCCCAACAGCTACAACAGAACTGTCTGCCTCCGTACACCAGCAGACCTCCAGGCTCCTCTCCCCTCCATGTGTCCCAGGTAAATCCTGTCCTCGGCTCTGCAACTCCTCCCCAGCAGCATCAGCCAGGTGGAGGTCAACAAGCTCCCAGCCAACTCCAGGGCCAGACTCCCTTTCCTCAGCAGCAACAGGCCCCATCCGGCCCCCCTCAGGCAGCCGTAGAGATAGCGATGAAGATCCAGCAGGTGGCTGATGCTCAGAGGAAGATGGCTCTGCAGAGACAGACAGCCACAGGCTTGATCCCACCCCACCCTCACCATCAGCAGGGCCCAGGTCAGCAAATGGCCATGGGACACACAGGGGGGCCAGGGATGGTGGGACCCCAGGGAATGCCCCCCCAGACACCGGCAGCTGTCTCAGCAGGTCGGGCCCATATGGATCCACAACCAGCTCCATCAGGGATGATGGTCAGTGCTGGTGGTACCCCTCAGCAAGGTCACCTCCCCTCTCAGGTCCAGCTTCAGCAGCAGAGGGTGGGGGCACCACTCTCTCAACAGCAGCAGCATTGGGGGGGGCAGGGGATGCCCCCACAGCAGAGGCCAGCAGTGATGAACCATTCAGCAGTGATGGCAGCTCAACAACAAGGGGCTCACCAACAGACTCAGGGCCACACTGCCTTAATGAACATGGGACAGCAGCTGAGTGCAGTTGGGGGGGGCCCGGGGGGGCCAGTACCTGGAGCTGCCGGGGGGAACATTCCTCAGGCCGCCCTGCAGGACCTTTTACGGACTCTCCGCTCGCCAAGCTCCCCCCTGCAGCAACAGCAAGTCCTCAACATCCTACGCTCAAACCCGCAACTCATGGCGGCTTTCATCAAACAGAGAGCATCAAAATACAAGGGAGGGCCGGGCTGTGTACCTGGAGGTCCAACAGGGGGTCCTGGTCCAACAGGCGGTCCTGGTTGTAATGTTATGGCTGGAGGGCCTCCACAGGTGAACATGAATGCTTCAGGGCCTGGACAGCCTGGGATGCACATGGGTGGTCAGGGGGGGTCGACTGTTAACATGGCAACAATTGCCCAACTGCAGCAAGCACAGCAACTAAACCAACCGCAACAACTACAACATCAACAACAACTGCAACAGCAGCAACAACAGCAACTACAACAGCAGCAACAAATACAACAGCAGCAACAAATACAACAGCAGCAACAGCTACAACAGCAGCAACAACTACAACAGCAGCAACAACTACAACAGCAGCAACAACTACAACAGCAGCAACAAATACAGCAGCAGCAACAAATACAACAGCAGCAGCAACAACTACAACAGCAGCAACAAATACAACAGCAGCAGCAACAACTACAACAGCAGCAACAACAACTACAACAGCATCAACAAATACAACAGCAGCAGCAACTACAACAGCAACAGCAACTGCAACAGCAACAGCAACTACAGCAGCAACAACAACTACAGCAGCAACAACAACTACAGCAGCAGCAAATACAACAGCAGCAGCAGCAGCAACAACAACTACAACAGCAACAGTTGCAGCAGCAGAGACCAATGCTCAACAATGTACAGCAGGGGGGGGTTAGAGGTCTACAGGGGGGGCCACAGATGGGGAATCTTAACAATCCTCAGTTTAGAGAGTTGCTCAGGAGGCGACATCTTCAGCAGCAGCAGCAGCAGCAGCAGCAACAACAACAACAACAACAACAACAACAACAACAACAACAACAACAGCAACAGCAACAGCAACAACATCTGCAGCAGCAGATAGGGGTGGGTCCCGGTCAGTTCCAGCAGCCTCCTCAGGTTCAGAACTTTGTGGGTCCGTCCGGGATGCAGCCTCCTGCTGCAGGAAAGGGCCCCCAAACAGACCCCTCTCAGCAGCACCAACTGGGTCAGCAAGGTCCATGTGGAGGAGGTCCTCAGCAGCCCCTTCAGAGCGCCCCCCCTCCGTCCTCTCAGGCCCTGCTCCAGCAGGCGCTCCACCAGAGGCTACTCCAGCAGCAGCATCTGGGTCCAGGGGGGTCTCCAGGCCAGCACAGCAGTCCCATGAGCCCACAGCAGGTGGCCCATTCCCCCACCCCCACCTTCAGGGCCAGACTGTGCATACGCCGCTCGCCAACCAGGTCCGATCCCCGCAGCCTTCCCCAAGACCCCAGTCCCAGCCGCCACATTCAAGCCCCTCGCCCCGCCTGCAGCCCCATCCCTCCCCCCATAATATCTCCCCCCAGGTGCAGACGGGATCTCCACACCTGAACCAGCACCACCCAGGCATGGTGGCGCCCCCGCAGCAAAACTCTCTGGACCAGTTTGGACGGGATCAGAGCGCCATGCTTTCTCAGCTGGGTACCATGGGGGGTCTCCATGGGCCGGGGGGAGGCAGTCAGGACCCTATGAATCACAACCATTTAGACCTAATGTGAGCGTGTCAAAAGGACTCCCCTGGACGGGTCGTTCACCTGGACGGGTCGTTCCCATGGACAGTGTTACAGATTTTTTTTTATTATTGTTATTTAAAATGTTTTGAATAAAGTTTCTTTGAATGAGCTTCCTATGGGAGATAAAGTCGGTGGTTAATAATTATGAATAAATTGAATTAACTTATTGCTGTTAATATATGTTTTCCCACCTGTGGACAGGGGTTTGGTGGGGTTCCTCCAGCAGCCCCTCTGGCTCGTAAACAAAGATATTTGGTGGGTAAAATGGACTCAAAGCCTTTTTTAAGAAAAGTTTTTAAGATTTTTAGTGTTGGAGAATTTAAGGAGATGATTTAATGCAAAGAACTTTTTTTATCGTTTTAGTTTCCCATCATTCAGTCTGTTTCTTTTTGTCCTGCAGACTGATGTGGAGGATTATTCACATGATCTACTTTATTTATTCTATCTGGGGGGGGGGTCATGTACGGCGAGACTGCTACAGTTTGTACAGAAATATATTTTTGTTACTGACTGTTAGGTTGGCTTAGTGAATATTTCTGTCTCTGTGTGGGCGTGTCCATTATGTGGGCGTGTCCGGTGTATGGATGTGTCATGTCTGTGGGCGTGTCCAGTGTGTGGGCGTGTCTAGGTGGATAATTGCCAGTGTTTTCTCACAGCTGTGTTGGAGACGTTAAAGGACTCGATGAGACGTCGATCAAGCTGCACAAACTTTTAAACATGCTAACCCCCTCCCCTGATTGTGTGCTCTCCCTCCTCTAACGACATTTCACATGGAGCAGCTTGGGGAGGGGGGCATACCTGTGTGCCTGTAAAGACGTGGGGGGGGGGCTCCTTTTAGTGTTGTTAGGATTCTTCTGTTTGCAAGAAACAGATTTCTGATCCAAATGAACTGTTGCACAGAAACAAGGAGAGGAGATGACTCAGCCTCTTTTCTGCCTCCTCCTTTGCTGCTTACCCGGGACTTCAACTCCCCTCCCCTCCTCCCTCGAGGGAGTTCTCCCTCTTTTACACTCCATCCTCTTATCTTTCTGCTAAGGTCTTTGGAAGTTTAATATTTTTTACTGTACAGAGGAAACAAACTTAAATACTGTTTTTATAATAAAATGAAAATGACATCACTGATTTCTCAATGTTTTTATTTTAGTTTAATGACATCGTCAATCTGACTAGGACGTCAGCTACAGTACTGCATCTTGTCTGAGTAAATCACTCCCTCTAGTGCTGACAAGTGGCATTACAATCTTTTGTAATCGGGCAGATATAAAGGATGCTAAACTCAAAAGCACTGTTGCACTTCAAAACGGACATTTTTACAGAGTTTTGGTTAAATTCCTGTTTAATGAAAGACTTCACATTTCTGATTAAAACAAACTTTGACAATCTGAGTTTTAAAACGACGAGGAAACAAATTAATTAAAAACAACTTAAAGACAAACAGGATGAATCTGTTCAATCAATATTTATTTGTAAAGCTCATCACAAATGTACTCTGCAGACACCTGGATCAGAACCAGACTCATGTTGAACAGACAGACACCTGGATCAGAACCAGACTCATGATGAACAGACAGAAACCTGGATCAGAACCAGACTCATGATGAACAGACAGAAACCTGGATCAGAACCAGACTCATGTAGAACAGACAGAAACCTGGATCAGAACCAGCTGCTGCTGCAGAATGACGACGTATTAAAAGCTGTGTGAGATTGTTCAGTCTTCAGGTTCTGATCCGATGGGTCGACTCAGTCTAAGAGATCATATGGAGGCAGAGAGTTTTGTACATATTTATTGTAAATGAAATAGAAATGAAGGACAGTTTACACATTGAGACTTCATGCCATAAATAAAAAGCTTACAGAGCAGTGTGAATAAAAACAGAGCGTCAGCTGGAAATACAAAAATAGAACCAGGAAGCAGATTATACTAAAAACCAAACGAAACCCTGTGAAGCTTTCTTTCTGTCTGGATCCCTTTGTGACAGAAATAACCGTCTCTACTGCTCTGTGGAGACTGACGGGCATGCAGCGAGCGCCGTGGAAGTGCAGGAAGGACTAACTTTAGGAAAGGGGGGGCGTCTGAGCATCCTGAAAACTGCATGGAAGTAGACGTGAGAAAGTTTGGTCCCCAGGCTTTTTAATCGCCTGAGAAATGAGCCAGCGAGATTTAGAAGCACTCGTTGTATTCAAAGGCAACAACGCCTTCATTGAACGCCATGGGACCCCGCAGAACGCCGGGGCACGTTTGTAAACTATTTGACATACGAGATTATTGAGCGTATAAAATCTAAAGACGATCGTTTAGTACTTCTTAAAGAAACCTTCGGCCACCGTTGCTTCTTTGAAAGTCACTGTGAGCGAGTCGATTGTCACTTTTGTCACGATCACCTTCCCAGCATGCTCTGCTGCTGTGGGAGGAGCCTCAATGCCTGGTGTTGCCCTGGTAACATCCTCCTCTCTCTCCTCGGCTGTCATGCTCGTTGTTATCGAGGTCGTGTTGTCGTTTCTGTCCAACGTGGGACACTCTGCCTCCACCTCCTCCTCAACTCCGCCCCAGAATGTGTCGTCGTCCCCGGTAACAGCGTCTTCTGGCCCCTCCTCCGGCACACAGACGCTGACCTCTGGTTGGTCGCACTCAAATGTTTGCATCTTTGACATTTCTTCTCGGTCAGTCCACGCCTCTTTGGCTCCACCTCCTAGGTGCTCCGCCTCCTCCTCCATCACCTCCAGCTCCACGTCCTGTCGCTCCAGCATGGGCGGCGAGCTGCACACGGACGGAGCTGAGAGGAGAAAGAGGTGAGCACAGTGACATCATCACGACCTGTTCTTTATTTGATGTTTTAAATGTTGAATATTTAGTTTATATTTCTGTTGGGTAACGAACGCCAGGTGGGCGTGGTGTCAAACTCACCGTACAGGCTGCCTTCACGCCTGTCGTCCGTCACGCAGTCACGTTCCTCTTCCTCGCTGCTCCACTCGTCCTCGTCCTCCTTCTTCTTCTCTGGTGGTCGGATGGTCCTCCTGGATGCCCTGTGCTTTGTCTTCCCCCAGGTGTACCGGTGGTACACGCCCCCTCGCTCGCCCTGGTCCACGTCTGTGCTCATGGAGCGAGTGAGGGAGAGGCGCAGGCGGGGAGGGGGCTTCTCCGCCTCCTTGTGGGTGCTGCGGAGGTCCATTGCGAAGATGTTCTGGAACAGTTGACAGGTAAACATCATTAAAAGTTACCATAGTTACATGATTCCCCCCCCCAGTCATGAGCTAATCACACCTATTTTGTTTTTTGAACCAGGCTGTAAACATGTTCATCTCTGCTGTAAAAACAGGCTTTTTAGAATGGGTGTGTATGTGACTTCCTGTGCTTCTGCAGCCAGCCTCTAGTGGACACTCCAGGAACTGCAGGATGTTACACTTCAGCATCACATTGATTTTAACACCATTTCAACACATTTCATCAAGCTGTGAGTTACAGTCTTACTGTGAGCTGCAAAGCATTCTGGTCTTTTGAGTGTGGAGCTGAAACGTGTCCATGATCTCTCTGAGGGAGGTGCATTATGGGATAGCAGTGAGGTGAGGTGTGTTTACCCGCAGGACGAGCCTCCTCGGTCTGAGACCTTTCCTTCGATAGGCCAGAGCTCTGATCTTCTCCTGACTGAGAGAGAGAGAGAGAACAATCAGAGAGGAGAGAGAGAGAGACAGAGAGAGGAGAGAGAGAGAGAGAGAGAGAGAGAGAGAGAGAGACAGAGAGACAGAGAGAGGGATAAGAGAATGGATAATAATGGCTTACTTCTCCTCGTAGGCCAGGACGAGGCGTGGGTCCAAAATATTATCCTCTGGTTCCCAGGTACTGTACCTGCGCGTGCACACACACACGCACGCACGCACGCACACACACACACACACACACAGACACACACA